GGTGGCCGCGGGCGCCGCTGTTCCCGGCCGCGGTCCCCGGGGCGACCCCGGCCCCGGCGCTCACGTGGACCGGGCTCAGCACGCTCTACCTCGGCGACTGGGTCCTCCTGCCCGGGCTGGGGCAGCGCGCCCCCGCCCCCATTTTCTCGCCTTCCCGGCGGTCCCGGGAGCTCTGCGGAGAATGGGGCTGGTCCCCAGGTGGAGGGAGGAGGCTGCCGCTGCACACCTGCCCGGAGACACCCCGGTGGGTGGGAGAGGTGCTGTGTGGGGCGAACCTGACCCCCTCTACCCACCCACTCCCAGCCTGGCAGCCCTGCGCTTGGCGCTTTGTTTTGCTCGGTCGGTGTTCGCTTGCGTCCTTGCCACGGCCTGGTCTGTTCGCTGTGTGGTGCGGGGTGGTGGTTTGGGGTGGGGATGTGGGGGAGTTGTGATTCAGCGAAATAAAATGACACCCCCGCCCCTCCCCTACGGAAGCAGCACAACTTTACCCGACTGAGCTGCCCCCAAGGCCTGGCCTTGGATGAAAATGGGAAATCCCACTTTGGTGTAGTGGACAGTGAAAAGACTTAACATTCAGGCCCGTGGGTGAGTCATGTGCTTTTGCTGAGTGGCTGACCTCCCATTTACTCAAGACCACGCATTGTTTTTTGAAATGTTACTTTTATTTGTTTACTCAATTGATGTTTTCTGCAGCCTGGTGAGGTTTATGGTCTTGGTCTTTGGGTTCATTTTTATGTGTGTGTTGGTTGCAAGAAGTGACCTCTTGGGAGTCTTTCGTGAGAATTGAAGTGTCTTTGATTTCCTTTGAGAAGGCTCTATCTGTCCGTATTTACAAAAACTAAGTCTCAGTGTAGCTCTAAGGCAGTGGTTCTTTGCTGCTGTAATAATGGTTGGGAGATTTTTATGAATGGGGCTGTCAAGTTTCTTAAGTTGTTAGTCCTTAGAATTTGTAGTCTGGAAGTGGTAGAGAAAGCTATATTCAACAGGATTTATGAATGTGTTTCAATTCCAAGTAGGTTTTGGATGGTAAAATCTGTTTTATGATTTTGCCAATAATAAAACATTCCTTTTGGTTTAATTTGGATGGGGATTATCTTTTCTTCAAGGTGTTATAGATAACCAAGCCTTTCTTCCCCCAGAACTTCATCCTGGGGAAGATAAACCTCTCAGATGGTTTCCATTGACTACATCTAGAAGGAAAAGTATGATTCGTAAGCAAGCAAGCATTGCTTCCCTGTTTTGCACCATACCCCTTTCCATAGTAGGAAAAACATAGTATCTAAGGGCTTAAGCTGTGGAGTAAATCTCTTAATAAGATCACTTTAGTTGGTCATAACTGGAAGGAGATGAGCCCACCTGTGTACATCTAGCTAGAATTCAGCCCCAGCCAATTTGCTGAAGATAAGGAGTTCTGCCTACAGATGAAAGTCGGAACTTGAAAGTGGCTATATTTTCGGGATAGGTTGACTAGCTTGGATGGTGATGAGAAAAAAATTACCTAAGAATTGCAAGAGAATTACTGGCCACTTTGTAAAATTTCCACTAAATTATTGAATTGTTTAAAGGAATTTAGACTTTGTTTCCAAAAGTTACCCTTTTGAACCAGTTGCTGTGATCTTTGTACTAAATTGCACTTTTGTTTTTGGAGGTTGGGAGGATGCGATATTTTTCTGTTACACAATTCAGGTTATTGAATGACTTGAGATTTACATATTTAGAAGGAGATTGGAATCCTTGTACGTAATTTAAAGCAAAAACTATTTGGCACTTCAATGATTTGAAGACTCTGGGCTGTTAAATCTTTTGACAACCACTGTCATCTGTCACAATTGTAAAGTATTTAGATTTCTGATTTTGAATAAACTTGTAAAATAGATCATGTTTGTCTTTATGCTCCCGGCAAATGTATAAAAATGAAAGAAAAGCTTGTCATTGGAAACTGCTACCAATATTTCATAAATCTTTGTGACTTTTGTGTTTAGCCAGGACTGCATGTCTGCAAGGTGAGAAGTGTGGGGATTCTTTGCAAATGCTGACAGTTCATTTTTAATTCATAAGACATGAGTTTGTGAAAAAATAAAATTTTACATTTTTTTGTTTTGTTTTACTGGAATGTAAGTTCCATGCAGGCAGGGTTATGTTTGCTTGGTTTTGCCTATTTTAATTCTCTGTTGTATCTTCAGCACCTAGAAGAGCACCTAAAGTATTCTTTGAGTGAACAAACTGGAAAGATAACTGAGCAAGAATTTGGCATACCAAATGCAAATAATTCCTCTTAAATTAATATTAGGAGGGGATATAATTGGTTAGTAGTGATTTAGAAGTAATGTGACTTTTAAGTAGGATGGTAAGGTCCAGAAATTGCAGTGTACTTATTTATAGTCCGGGCAATGTGACATGCAGTTGCTTCTGTGCACTGTCTACTGTACATTTCCCACTTAGTTTGAAATGTGGTGAGTGGGTTTGGGCTGTGGTTCAACACTGGCCTGGGAAAAGTATTTTAAGAGGGAGATGAAGTGGGTAATAAACATGTATGGGTAGCATTTCTTCAATGTGAATCTCATGTTGTCAATAAAAACTTGATCTTTTTTTTTTTAACATTAAGCACTTTCTTTTTAATATTCGGGTTTCATGTGGACGTGATTGCCCAATCAATTTCAGCGATTAGTTCCTGAGCTCTTACTATGTGCAAAGGAAGACAAAAAGATATTTGCACGTGAGTTTTTTTTGATGGGTTTGTTCTTTATTAACATTTATTTCTAAACGTTTACTGAATATAAATTGTGTGTAACTTGATCATTACACTGTTACTGTAATAAAATCCCACCGAATACCCTTCTTTAAAGAAATAACAGCTTTACCGAGATACAATTCACACACAGTACAGTTCCCCAATTTAAAATGTACAATTCAGTAGTTTTAGTATATTCAGAGTTGTGCAGCCATCACCATAATGAATGTTAAGACATTTACATCCCGGGCGCCTGGGTGGCTCAGTTGGTTAAGCGACTGCCTTCGGCTCAGGTCATGATCCTGGAGTCCCTGGATCGAGTCCCGCGTCGGGCTCCCTGCTGGGCGGGGAGTCTGCTTCTCCCTCTGACCCTCCCCCCTCTCATGAGCTTGCTCGCTCTCATTCTCTCTCTCTCAAATAAATAAATAAAATCTTTAAAAAAAAAAAAAAAAAAGACATTTACATCCCTCCAGAAAGAAATCCCTATACATTAGCAGCAGCTCTCCATCCCTGCCCAGTCCCTCAACGCCTGGCAACCACTAATCTGTTCTCTATCTCTATAAATTTGTCTCTTCTGGATATTTCAGGAATCATAAAATATGTAGCCATTCGTGTCAGATCTCTTTCAGTATAATGTTTTCAAGGTTTGTACTGTAGTATGAATCAGTACTTCATTCTTTTTATAACTGAATGGTATTCCATTATGTGAACCCATGCCACATTTTATTTATCCATTCATTAGTTGGTGGATATTTGGGCTGTTCCCACTTTGGCCGCTGTGAACATTCATGTACAAGTTTTTGTGCAGACATTTTTTTGTGGGTAGATATTTAGGAGTGGAATTGCTGGGTCATGATAACTATTTGATGATGTGCAGTGACTTTTTAACTGCCTTGATTTTCTAGTGCTTTCACAAGGGGTTAAAAGAAAAGCTTGCTGAGCTGTGGGTGTACCCATTTAAAAAAATGAGGAAATGGAAGTACAAGGATGTCAGCATGTTGCATGTAGTACAGTCTGCGTGGTTTGATCCCAACTTAGTTTTTAAAAATTGTACATTCCTAGAGAACAGTTTGAAATGCTGGTAAGGCACAGAAACCCATCTGGAAGATGCACTCCACACTTCTGTTGTAAAGGGTAGTTGTTAAAACCCTTAATTTTCTTTTTCAGTCTAAACAGGCTACAACTCATTAAACTGAATCCACACATCCCACCTTAAATCATGGGATATGTTCCATTCTAAAGAAACAGATAAAGTCCAGTGTCAAAGTTAAGGCAAACAGCCATCTGTCGCATTCTTGACAACCCTGAAGTGGGGGAATAGCACTGACTGGTCCACCATCATTTGAAAATGAGATTGTAAGTTTTTTTTTTTTTCCTTTCCTAAACAAAAGTAGTTTGTGGTCATTTGAAATGATTTGAAAAATAACAATGTTAACATAATGTTGTCAAAAACTACCCCTTAATCTCATTTGTATTGCAATTTTTTCTATTTATGAGTAACAAAATTAATTATACTCTTAAATTTTCAAAAAATATGCGATCACTTCCAAGATGCTCTATTTAAATAGTTGTCTAATATTCTACCATATGAATGTACCATAATTTTGCTGTTTTTGGACATGGTTTTCAAGTTTTCTTTTTTCATGTCTAGGGAGGGAATCACTAGATCAAGGGGTGTGCATTTTTTAAACCTTGATACAAATTAGTTTTCCAGGGGCGCCTGGGTGGCTCAGTTGTTAAGCGTTTGCCTTTGGCTCAGGTCATGATGCAGGGTCCTGGGATCAAGCCCCGCATCGGGCTCCCTGCTCTCCGGGAAGCCTGCTATTCTCTCTCCCACTCCCCCTGCTTGTGTTCCTGCTCTTGCTATCTCTCTCAAATAATAAATAAAATCTTTTAAAAAAAAAAAAATTTAGTTTTCCAGAAAAATTCCATGAATGTCCATTTCTCCACAATTACAGCTTGACAGTGTCTTGTAACATTTTTTTTTCCCATAAAAAGCAATTGGGTAAAAACAAAATGTCCTCTTGAGTGTGTTCTGAAGGCTTCTGAGAAGCAGATGTGTCTCGACATCTTGCTCTTTGACCTTTCTACTCTCTCCTGCCAGAGTTGGACTTTGTTTCCTGAAATCAAGTCTCAGAATTCCTGATCCTGTGATAGGAACCCAGTGTTAACTGAATGCTCTGGGGAAGGGTACTGGGAAGGGCTTGTGCAGCATCTTGGCATCTGATCCTGTCTCATATTTGCTAGCCTGCTCCAAAGACTCATACCACCAGCGTGACACAGACCGCAGTTTGAGTCCTGGCCCTGCTGCCACCCGTGTGGCCTTCAGCTTGTCTCTCAACCTCCCGCAAATTTCACATTTTTTTCATCTGAGGGTAAAATGAGGTGGTGCCCTCTCAAGGTTAGCTACTTACTTGCTGTCATTGCCCAGGGTGAAAAAATGAAGTGGGAAGAGGTAGCCAGGTATGAGAGTAGAGCTCCTGAAGGCTAAGAAGGTGCACTAGCTGGTACTCCTAGAAATCATGTCACCAGGTGACACCAAGGTCAGCCAGGTGCCTTCTAAGAAGACATCCCCTCTATGTCTTGTCTTCCTCCCAAGTAAACGGTGCATGGAGACCAGTGGAGAAGGTGATTTAAAGTGGGGATTAGGGATTTTTTTTTTTTTAAGTGAGGATTTGTTTTTATCTGATATTGAGATTAAAGGAGATGCTGATGGGATTAGGGGAAATTCAGTGGTTTGGGGGCATCCACTCTGGGATGTTGGCTGCAGAATTTGGGGAAATGATCCAGCAGGGAAATGTAGCCTGGTGTATTTTTGGGCCTAAAATTTAAGTTTCCTATTTCATTAAAACTTGGTAATATGAATAAAGGCAATGGCCATGGTGCCAGAAGTCGCTGGTGGACTAAAGTTTTTCCAGAGCACAAGCACAGCATCTTTCCCTACCTTCTTTGGCCCTAATATGAATTGTGTTGACATCTGGGCATGACAGAACGATTCTGATCTCCAGGAAGGTTTGTGTCACAAATCAGCCTCTCCCTGGAAGAGAGACAGGCAGCTGGATGGGCCAGGAAAGTGAAGTTCCTCCTTGGGAGTCTGAGGTCCTACTAATGGACTTTGGGCCTTGTTGACCAGACGAACCAGTTGATGTCAGTCACTGTTACCAGGGACCATCAGGATCCATTGCCATGTGGGGTGTTTTTTGTTTGTGTTAAACCCAATTGGAGAATAACTTTCGGAGATCAGCCAGATCTGAGCATTTAACTGCAAATTAAGTGTTCGAATGGGGGCGCCTGGGTGGCTCAGTTGGTTAAGCGACTGCCTTCAGCTCAGGTCATGATCCCAGGGTTCTGGGATCAAGCCCCGCATCGGGCTCCCTGCTCAGCTGGAAGCCTGCTTCTTCCCCTCCCACTCCCCCTGCTTGTGTTCCCTCTCATGCTGTCTCTCTCTCTCTCCCCCTGTCAAATAAATAAATAAAATCTTTAAAAAAAAAAGTGTTCGAATGAATATGCCATTTTGGGATGTCTGGGTGGCTCAGTCTCGGTTAAGCAGCTGCCTTCGGCTCAGATCATCATCCCAGGGTCCTGGGATTGAGTTCCGCGTCCGGCTCCTTGCTCCGTGGGGAGTCTGCTTCTCCCTCTGCCTGCCGCTCCCACTGCTTGTGCTTACTCTCTGTCTGTCTCTCCTCTCTCTCTGACAAAATCTTAAAAAAGAATATGCCATTTCTTCTTTTTGATCTGTGACATACTTACAAAGACTTTTTTTTAGTTCGTCCTAAGTATAGGCTCTTCTGTGATCTTTCCCTTGACAGGTATTGGCCTGTTCTACCCAATATAGGAAGTTCTAGGTCTTTGGGCTGTGGAGAGCAGGCTTGATTGAAGCTGTGTCACTGGAAAGGGAGAACTGTGGAGTCCACTCTCAGGGTTCACGCCCTGCCCCCTTCTGGTCTTGACCTCAGGTGATTTACATAATCTCTGTAGACCTCAGTTTCCTTATTTGTGAAGTGGAATATGTATACCTGAGCATTGGCAGGTGGCCAGAAGGTGCAGGGGAGGGCGGGCTCACATCTGTATTGTATTTGGATTAGTAGGGTCTGAAGGGAGTGCTTGCTTTGCTCTGCCTGAAGGGCTTTGAGAAAAGCTGTCCAGACTCTACTTTGCATGTGGTCACCTTCCTTGTCTTGGTTCCATTTAAGGCTGAAGGTCCGTATTTGTTCCTTGTTGCTGTCAAGTCAAGAGGCACTGGCACACTGTGGAAGCAGTGCCAAGGGAGAGGTGTTGGGCTTGGTATTATGCAATTTCCAGAAACAGGAATTAGTAATTCCTATGTCCTTGTAGGTGGCTAATGTCCTCACTTGTCCTACCCAGGCAATAACACATACACATCTGTGGGCAGATTGACCTTTGAGATTGTTTTGTGTTTTAAGAATAAAGAAAAAGGAAGAGCGTGAGATCAGTTTGGGGATTTTACACTTGAAACATTTTCCATTGTTTTTGAGGAAACCTGTATTTGGTGGGAGCAGAATGTTAATGTGAGGGTTGAAACAGGAGAACTGCTTGGGCGCCTGGGTGGCTCAGTTGGTTAAGCGACTGCCTTCGGCTCAGGTCATGATCCTGGAGTCCCGGGATCGAGTCCTGCATCGGGCTCCCTGCTCAGCGGGGGGTCTGCTTCTCCCTCTGACCCTCCCCCCTCTCATGCTCTCTCTCTCTCATTCTCTCTCTCAAATAAATAAATAAAATCTTAAAAAAGAAACAGGAGAACTGCTAATGTGAGGGTTGAAACAGAACTGCATGGAGTGTGGAACCTGCCAGCACTGCGTGTGTGTGTCTGTAAGTACATAAATACGTACATACGCACGTGTGTGCATGTGTATGCATGAGAACTGGGTACAGGGGCACACTGTACTTGCGTTGGACCAGTCACATACCCTCTCAAGTCTCAGTTTCTCACGTAAAATGGGGTAATAGGTTTGGGCTCCAGAGAACTTGGACCAGAATCTAGATTTTTAAAAGAAAGTCGTTATTGTTTTATCTTTTTTTTTTTTTTTTAACTGAGGGTAATGACATGAACTTAAGGGTTGCAATCATGTTTAAGGGGAAAGGGTAATGTCAAAGAGTGTCGCACATTGAAGAGTATTTCATAAAATCTTTACTTGGACTTTATGTATTGCTGTGTATATGATAAAACGTGCATCTTACCATGGGCCCTGTCAGAACAGTGTGAAATAACATTGTTTTAGCTACCCACTCGTAACTGTAGGTACCTTGATGGTAGTTTTCTCTTAGCCTTATTGCGATCTATTTCTTCCGCACTTGTCCAAGGGTGACTCCTGTATATGCTTTCTAGTAGCAGGTGAATTGCATTGCTCTTTTTCTTCCTTGTACCCACTGCTTGCTGAGCCCTCTCTGTAGGGGCTGGAATGGGTGGGGGAATTGAGGAAGCCTGTATTGGTGAAGGTTGTCAGTCTGCAACGGGCAAAACAAGTATATAAAGGGTGTTGTGTGTGTGTGTTAAAAAAAAAATCAACCGAGTAAATTTTAAAGATCTTAGTTGACTTTATTCAATGATTCATGAATTGGGCAGCATCTCACCTAGTAAATAGAAAGGAGCGCCAAAGAGCTGTATAAAATGAAAGGTTTTTACAGACAGAAGGGGGCAGGATGAGGAAGTTACAGTGAAGAGCAGATTGTTTTAGGCAAGGTCACCTTCCTTTAGGGGCTGGGGTCTGTTGGGCAGATTACCTCACTAGTGCTGACCAGGTAATTCCAGACTGACTGGTTTAAAATTCCACTCCTGGGAGAAGTTGAAACCATAATTTGGTATTAAGTCTCAGTTTGGTGACTGTGGGGCTTAGCACAAGTGATTCCATTTGGGGCCTTTTATCTCTTCAGGTGTGTGAGGCAAACTACCTGTCCTTTATTCTCAGAAACTGTCCTTCCAACTTTCTAATTAAGATCTCTCTCTCTGGAAATAGTTTTATTGGTTAGGTCTTCCTGATATAAAAAACTAATGTAAAACTGTTAAAAGGGAACTCTGTTGGCTGATGTGACAAGAAGTCGAGTGGGTCTCAAACAGGGACCTCAGAGCTTGTTACCTATCTCTGATATACTGATGTCAAGGTCAAGATTGAGTCTTCCCAGGTAATGCTGTCTGATGGCAGAAGACTCTGACTTGGATCATTGCCCATCACTAACCTTGTACAGAATGGGAATGCCAAACCACCTTGCCTCAAACATAGGACCTGTAGCCCATCTCTGCTTTCCACTTGCTCAACCCAAATAATAGCTCCAGCAGCATCTTGTTCATTCATTATGAGGCATGCTAGGTGAATTTACTTTGGTTGAGCAGTCTGTCTTTT